GTGGCCGCAGACAGACCTGCCGAGCAGGACGTCTCTCCCGTGAAGTCACCTTGGGTGACTCCTCACGGAAAACCCAAACTGGATCAACTGCCCATGGGTAGCCGACAGCTGGCTGCGCTATCAGAGGCTGCTTGTATTCTTCCGTGGGTAGCACCCGTATCTCGGGTAGCTCTGGCTTGTTACCCTAGTTTCCAGGTTGCGCTACATTTCGTAACGCAAAGCCACAGAGTAAGAGCAGACCTAACATGAGGAGCCTCCTCTGTAAGTTCTGGCTTACCATTTCCCTGGGAGCATCCTGGCCAAGAGGCTAGAGGCACCTTGTGGTGTCTGTGTAGCCCAGGAACTGTTCTTTTCCACAATTGATGTGCTGAAAGCTAGGATATTTTCTCAAGACTGGTGACAGACGTGGCTTTGAATGTCTTTGGAGGAAGGAGAAGAAGGAATTTAGATCTTCTCTCTTCTTGTAAAATACAAAAGGCATTGCTGCATTTACACTCTGTGGACAGCGGTGGCTGTAGTTGTGTTTTGTGAGGAGCCTGTCAATATGTGATAGCTGTGATATGAGAAAGCCTTCTGGACGGAGCCATTTGGGAGACTTCAGAGGAAATTCAAGAACTTGAAGCTCAGCTCAGTTGAGCCATGGATTAAGTGGCAACTTCAAAGCAGAAATTAAGGGCAGAGTACCTCCCATGTGTAGGCAGCGACTGAGTGTTGTTTGGTTTTAGATCGCAGTCTTGAAACAGTCACTTTGCCTTCTTACGATTGCAATTTAGGCAATTAAATTTATTCCAAGTCCCACTTTAGGAGACAGACCTTTGTTGGATCTCACCCTGGCTGACCACTTAGGAAACCCTTTGATCCTGGCAATTGATGCACCATAAATAAGATTCTGCAGATTGTGCTTAGCCTTTGAAAAAAGAACATTCAAGGACAAAGAAGTTTGAATTTCACTCCTTGCCATATGGAAGACACACACGGCTCATCTTAGTCTAGCTGGATCTCAAGACGTAGCTGATCAGAGAATTCACTGATTACTCTAGACTCGATGACAGTGAAGGGGTGGATGTGGGAGTCACTGTGACGATCATTTCCAATTTGATCAGAAAAGCTGGTCTGAGGAAGACTGGTTTTGACTCTGCTGGCTCAAGCTTAAGGCTTAGTCCTGGAGTCTGAGTTGAGTCTGGAGAAGCAGTGGCTGGTTGGGAAGTACTTTGTTATTTCCAGCTGCCAAGGAAACTGTAATCTTTGCTTTGTGGACTCAGCTGTCACCCAGGTATCCTGTACACCCCAGGGAGTGCTGTGCTGTTATGTGACAACACTTTCCAACTGCACTAGCTGCGGAGCCCAGACACTTACTCACTTGATCACACTTTCTATTCCATTTGGTTGCTTATTGATTCTTGGTTCAGATCTGCACTTTCCAGTTTGATGGATTTACATTTGTCACCTGACTACCCTTTTATTTGTATTTCCATCCTTCAGATCAAAAAGACTCAAGCAAATCCCCCAAACTGTTCACACAGGGGGTGAGACAGGGTGAATCTTTTTTGCTGAGGAGTTTTAAGTGCTGCTGTCTCCAGATGATCAATTTTCAGTCATTCACATTTCTCTCATGGTCTGTTTTATTTTGTGTGTGTAAGCACTATTTGGCATGATAGTGGTTTTCTAATTCGGAAGTTCAGACTTTGGATACTGGTTGTAGAAGATTAAATTTTATTAGAAATTGCATGTTTGCAATTGCTGCAGAGCAATGGAAGAGTATTTCTTACATAAATTGAAGTAAATATGCAGGAAGATTAGTATGTTGATTAAAAATCATCTGTAGAATTTTTAAAGTGTTCAGAACTTGAAAGGAATAATTTGTATTAGTTTAAGATTTTGTGTTTGTTTTCCTGTTTATTGTTTATTTCTGTTTGTAAAAATTCAATGCTGAGGTCTGGGACATCTGTGAGTCCTCTAGAGGGCAAAACAGATTTAACTTCAGCTCTCTGAGGAAGCAAAGGACTAACACTGCAAATAAGCTTTTTTTCCCTCCTCAGCAGTGGATAATTTAAAACATCCTCTTTCTTTGTGGCTCTTGAGCTTTGATTCTTAAGTGTACTTAAGTGCCTAATTAAATGGGAATTAGGTACCTGAATTCCTATGTGGCCCTAAGCCTTAGGCTTTAACTGACTTCGTGACACTCTGTCTCTTGCCTTGCAGGTGTGGGTATGGCCATGAGGAAAATGGGAAGCATGGCCAAACCAGATGTTTACATTATTAAGGATGGGGACACAATCACCGTAAAAACAGAAAGCACTTTCAAAACTTCACAGTTCAGCTTCAAGCTTGGTGAGAAATTCGAGGAAAACACATTAGATGGCAGGAAAACTCAGGTCAGTATACTAGGCTTTCTATTGAAAAACACAGTTCTTTGGGTGTTCTACAGATGGAGATGCTATTTAAAAGTCAGTTTTGACATCCACACTAACAATGCTTTACTGGGTGAACAGCTGGCTCTGTAAATCTCATTGAAATAAATTATTTTTTTGTGTGTGTATGTATAGATTAAGCAACTTCCAAAGAGGGAAAATGCTGAAACTAATAATGTCTTGTGTATTTTGTTGTTTTCAATTTATAGCAGAAGCATTGTGTTAGTAAAACTAACAGACCTCTAAATCCCTGTTAAAGCCAAATGTCATTTAATTTGAAGCCTGGGGAAAAAATCCTACTGAAGTTTAATCAGAGGCCTTGGGTTAACCTTTCAGCTAGGTCTCATATTTGCATCACAAGAGAACCTGGCACAGTGTGCAGTGGGATAACAGACACACAAGGCACACATGTGAATCACAGCCCCTAATCTCCAGGTTTAGAAGGCAAAGAGCTTCTTCCTGCACCAAGTAGGGAGAATATTCATCCGAAAGGAGCTTAAATGTAAAGAAGCCCTCAAATCCATCCCTCATTTCCCTTTGTTAGTGCTCTCTGTGTACCAACACCCTCCCTCCAGCCACACACTGGCAATTCATCTATTAGAGCAAGATCAGATAAACCTTACACAAAAGCTGAAAGCACATGTACAAAGAGATGAACAGAGAACACAGTCTGCTCCTGTTAATTGTGCATGCTTTCAAAAGGTCTGTCTGATGCAGGAATGTGTCAGAGCAGTGAGTGAACAAGCAGTGAGCTACTGTAAAAAGAGGATCAATAAAACATTTAAGACCTTATCTTGGCTTTGCAGATGTAAATGGGAAAGTTACTACTGAGTGAGCTGGGATGGGATTTCTTCCTTTGGAATAAGGTGTTGGAAAGCCTCCGTCTCCATGTAATGTTGTGCACAAGATATTGATGTTCGTGTTCTTCTTTCAGACCCTTGTCAGCTTAAAAGATGATGGGTCAATGATTCAGGAGCAGGAAGGTATCTAAAAGGAGTAGGAATGGGATGGCAAGAAGACCGTAATAACACGGAAACTAGTGGATGGACAGTTGGTGGTGGTGAGTTCAGTCCTGCTTTCTGATCCCTAAGTGCTCTGGCCGGTGGCCTGAAAAGTAACTCTAAAAGATCTTTTTCCTTCTAGATTCTACTGAGCCATATTAATAAATCCATCTCTTTATCTTCTAGGAATGTGATATGAATGGTGTGAAGTGTGTTAGAGTCTACCAGAAAGCATGAGGACATCTTCATGTTCGTGAGAACTTGCTACAAACAACTCAGTTCAGTGGACAGAGCTCCTTTACACTCCGTATTTTCCTTTTCCCTGTTTTCTAGTATTTCAATGGACTGAGTAGCTGAGTGCAATCCTTTTTAAAAGCTGTGGTGTAACTATTATGTAACTATTCTGAATTTGCGAGGCTATTAAATAAAATTGTCAAATGTATGAAGTGGAAATGTTGTTACTATAGTGGAATTTTAAAGTGTGGGTTTATAAAAACTCGGTTTGGTTTTAGGGTCTACTACAAATTGTCTTCAGTTCAAGATAATGCTGTATATGGCAACCAACAATTAAAAGCAAGCTGAATTTTGACCAGCAGCCTTAATTGCTAAGGTAGTAAATTCTGAAATAGAAAAAAAGCATTCAGAGTTTAAGCTCTAGAATTGTTTCTAATTTCCATGTTAAAAAATAAATAGATTTGGGTGGGTATAAATAAGAGATGAGCTTGGTGTTTAAGCAGAGGAATGTATTTTCAGGGGTTAGTTTGTTTTTTCATGTTTCAAACCCACAAATTTCTTATCTGAAAAAATATATACTGCCAATGGACAGTATAAACTCAAGCAAACACGTACGTGCTTTACCGAAAGGAAGCCTTATTTTGAGAAGACTCTTTGTTTTCCTAGCAAAATTCTTATTTCCACTCTAGTAACATTCTAAGAATTCTTAACTGAAATCTACTGAAATACTGCCTAAAACTTTAAGCCTCATTTTTTTTTTTTTTTTTAACTGGCTTGAAACACCTAGCAATGGAGTTTATATGCTTTGAAGTGCCATAATAAATAATCGGAAATATAAGTGTCTTGAGTATTACATATATACTGGTTGGGAAACAGAGCCTATGATGGTAGTATTCTGCCAAAGAGATGTCAGATCAGACAGAATTAAAAAGGTTTAGGTGAATTTCTGTCATAACAGACAGACATGTCCTAAAAGTGGAACTATTTGGCGACAGGGATGGGGAGTTTCCGATCAGATTCAGAAGCCTGGGGGACCATGCAATCACACGTTTTTAGTTTGCAGCATCAGTTCTTGCAGAATCCATTGCTGCTTCAACCCTACTAGTATTTTAGTTGCTCACTGCGTGTATCATATTACTCAGCTTACCTGAATAGCAGAAAAGTCTGCTCTTTTATGTTCATGGGAAATTATTTCCCCATCAGTTTGGACCATTTATCCTTTTCATAATTTCCTGACTATCTATGAATGATCCCCTTTACCTATGTCATCTGAAAGTATTTGTAGCTGGAGCATATGTCTTGCTTTTTTTCTTTTTTTCATGATCCATATATGAGTAAGTATTTTTCCTAGTCCCCTAATGTCTCGTTTTTGAGTTGGCCAATGTTCGTACCACCTTTATTTGTTAGTCTTCCTGGCTTTAATGTGAGCCCTGAAGATCTATACTGTATTCTTATACAGTACATGAGAAACAGATTTTTTTGTTATTAGGGGAAGGAATCTCCCCATAGAAACAGAAAACGTACTGATCTGATGAGGAACCTGTTAGGTTTACAATCAGAAATATACTAAATAGTAGTAGGAGAATGGGTGCAGCAATCTGTGGCATGATATGAAAATCCTGCCTCCTTTCCAAAAGAGTGATCTATCACTTATCTCTGCTTGTTTGCTTTTCAGATACTGAGTAGCTTTAATTGTTTATCTTTCATTTGAATGGAAAAAGCTTCCAATGTCTTTTATAGGACATCCGCTTTCATTACAATGAGGTCACTTCTTGTAAAACAAAAGGCAGAAGAGTACCTTTTTAGAGCAATTTCCTTTGGAAACGAGGCTTATAAAGTCTGTGTTTGTGTGCGTGTGCTCTCTGATTTCAGCTGCATGTGAAGTAGAGGCTAGAGGTCCCAAAGATAATTACTCTTCCACAAATGTCATGAAAATAAGTGGCCTGATGAAGGAGATAGACCATAAAGTGCCTTGATGATGGAAAGACTGCACATGGAAGTGACATTGTTTAACATTAAATGGAAGAAAAACATTATAAACCCTCTTGGCACACATAAGTAATCTTCAGTACAGAAGTTGACCAATGGTAAAACACAGATCAACAGGAAACTGGAGTTCTTCAGAGTTAACTCTCCAGAACTACTTAGGCTCATGTATTTATTTGCTTTATTTTGATGTTAGCTTCAGCCTCTGTTGCTGGTAACTTCAATGTACGTGTACGGTGACACAGAACTACCATATATACAACCTGTTAGTGTAAGATTAGACTGTACACTTAAAACAACAGTTGTTTTATAGTACTGCAAGCCAAGATTTATAATGCTCAAGACTCAAAAATAAAGTTCATTTCCAGATTCCTTCTATCTGTTATTATACAAGCCAACATTTTTACTCTTCGTGAAGTGTGTGTACGCAACGTTCTCATAGGTGTAAAATAACCGGTTGACCTGAGATTTGAGTAACTCTCTGTAGTTCATTACAACACAAAAGATTGTGGAAAATCAAGAACAACTGAAAAAGAAGAAATTATGCACTATCTAGGCAGGACTGCTTTATAATGCTACAGAATTATGAAATAAGGAGAGAAGCTTTGTTGTGACATTTTAGTGCATGTTCTTGGAAATATTTTGGACGACTAAAAGTAACATGTTCAGCAAACTAAGGCTGCAAGTAAAACTTGCTCAAAGAGAAGCAGTTTCCATATCCACTCCAACACATATTCATTTAAAGTCATGAGCAGTGTACAATTTATATCTTACTATATCTCACTGTCCTCTCAAAGTGGTGCGGTTCTGCTGTCCCCATAGAAGGGGTTTTGTTGTTTTCTGGGGATTTTGGGAGGTGGGGATGTTTGGGGGAGTTGGAGGGGGTTTTTGGTGGTGAATTTCTTTTTTTGTAAAGGAATAGAAAATCGAGTTGTTTAGCAATTTAGATCTGATATTCTACCACATTAGGGAAATCTCTTGTCTGAGCTTTCCAAGAACAGTAATAAAAAGGCACTGTGCTTTGAGGAGAACATACTGGCTCTGTACAATGCTCAGACTACCAAAGACTTTCCTGTTATGGTTTGGTTATATGATTTATTTCAGATTTGTTATTCTACTCGGCCTGCATTCTCTGCCGTTAATACTGACCTTTCCTCTTCCTCTCCCCTCCCTACATCACACATGCACTTCAGATCAAAGATTTTTAAAAAGCAAAGACAGTGATGGGAAATCTCTCAGTTTTCTGAGGTTATTGTCCTACTGTTAGCTGTCAGCTGTCCTATAAAAAGGCAGCAATTATTTCTTCAAGTGTGAAGGTCAAATGTAGCTTTGCTCTGCCAATGGCTGCTTGGGTAATATTACTTCAAACATCAAAAAAGAAAATGAATTATTGAATAGGTGCCATTTTTTCTTTATTTTTTTTTTAGGTTAAAACCTAAAAATCCAGTATTGTTGATTCTAGTGAGTATAAACAGTAAGCAACCTTTATTACTTCCATATAACATGACGTCCAATGCATTCTTTTTGTTCATAAACAATCCATTCAGAGTAACTCTTATTAAAGTTAGAGGCTGAAAATAAGTGCCCTGTAAGTATTTTTTCAGGGCCCCTACAGGGCTTCCCTTGATCCCTGCACAGGAGTCCAGAGGCCCCACTTCAGCTCAGCCTGGGGTGTCAGTCCATGCCTGAGCTAGTTGTCAGAGTCAGTCTCCAGTTCAAATACCTGCAGATTTTACTCAAAAACGCATGCATTAAACTATTTCTAAGAAGGAATTGCCTTATGAAGGGCTGGTATTCCACTGAAACTGTTTTATAAAAATAAAAGCAGTAATGCAGGCCAGCTCCAATCAAACCTTTGATGGTGACTCCTTCCCTGCTTGAGAATGTGCAATGAATGGATTAGAAACCCTTTGCACTATGATGTTGATTATTTTTGCTTGTAGGGGAAAAAAAAATCCCTCAGTGTGATAGTGGGTGGAAGCAAGTTAACATATATTAATTATTCTTTGATGCCTCATTTCAGTCCAATTGTTTAACCCTCTGAGGATTTAGCACTATTTTCATAGGCTTTGGATACAATCCAGCATCTGTGTAAACACATTTTTGTCCCATGGTTCCCCTTCCAGCTTTGGCTTTTCAGCCCTTGTACATCAAATTAAGATTTTGTGGACACTTCCTGCAATGGTTTTACTTCATGCTATTATTTCAGAGGAAAGGAAAGAGAATTAGAGACTCAACTCTCAAGAGTGAATTTGTCTTCCTTTCCAGCAAAAATGTTTTCAAAATCTACTCCCTCTATCAGGTGGTTTTAATTATATTCTGGAGATATTTAGAGGTGAAGTCCATTATAGTTGCAGAAGAAATGTAAAGTTTCAGCGATAAGTGCATTCTAGAATCAGTTTCAGATCATGTCCTGCAAAAATCTATTGAATCCCAAGTATTATTGTTGCGACTACAATAAATGACACTTTTGTCATTGATCACAGATGTACACTCTGAAAGTGTCATCAGAAGACAAATGTCCCACTCTGGGGACCATGCATACCATATATTAGGACCAGACATTTGCTCACACGCACATAGCATCTGGTTCCACTGGGAATTCTTGCTTGAAAGCATGAGCGTGCCTTCAGAAAAGATACCAGCTAAGGGTGCAGCTCAGCTCCTTGTGCAGTGCAAGCGTCCAACAGAAAATCAAGCGACTTAGCGCAGTTTTCAGACTGGGCTGGTGGTGCATTGGTGCCATACACTCCAGGGGTATTCTTGCTCGGTGACTTGATGTCTTCTGGGGCCATGTGGCATAGTCTTGTATGATGAACAGCAAATTGGAAATCAGAAAGAACAAGGTAGCCTAATGAGGTCAATTTTGATGCAGAGTGTAATCAAGGCAAAATATCATTGATGCTTTCCCTTTCCAAAATGTCTAAAGCAGTAACTGATACTGGGATTTGTTTTCTACTGTCTCATCTTCATTCATTTTTCTAAACCATGCTGCTTTGTACAGATTTAATTGCATACAAATAAAGTTCAGAAAATGAGATGGTTTTATTCTTATACATCTATATTTTTCTCTTGGTGAGATGTAGAATGAATATGCAAGCTGCATATCTTTACTGGGGTATTGTTTGAATAGACTCTTGGATTCAGATTCTGGGTGTCCAGCTGGTGTGATTAGTGAAATAGGGATTAAGAAAAATAAGAAAACGTAGAAAAAACTAAGCGCACAGCT